GGCTGTTAATTTTAAAAAAAAATCGGCAAAACTGGTTACTATATATGATCGATAATATAATTGAATATCTCAACTAGATAGATTGGAAGTGCATCATTTGGGCGTACATCTTGGAAATTTCTCATAGATTTTTTTTATACAATTAACTCTACAAAATGTACTTCCATTTCCATAAAAATATTTTCGGATATCATCAAATAAGCCAAGTTTTTATTAATAACAATTACCATATTATTGGTAGCTTTCATATGTATTAAAAAGAAGTCTATGAAACTCACAGAGATTTACCTTTCACGCGGTTGGGATGACTAAATTTCTTGTTTGTAAGTATTTTATTTCAAAAATTTTCAAAAAGTTCAGATTCTAAAGTTATTTTTTATTCAAAAGAATTTTTGTTATATATAGCGCAAGTTATTAGTAAGTAATTAACACATTCTTGTCCTTAAACCAAAAATGCCTTCTCAAGTGCCCAGCATTTCGTCTTATCAATTTTTTGAAGCTATTTAAGTTTATGAAACTTTATTTTGGTATTCATACTTCTCTGTCTATATCTCCCTCCTATTATTCATTTTAAAAAATTAGCAAGTTTGATAGGTGAAATTCTTCGCTTCAGGATTATTACATGTATCAAAAACGTATAAATTGAGAATATGGCTATAATATCAAATAAAGGGATTTTCCCGTTAGGCGTACTGGTCATTTCATCCTAGGCAGGAGACACGAATATTGAATAATTTTTGGAAAAAGTTAAGAGATAAGAAATTTTTTTATTTATTATCATACATACCAATAACGAAATGCTTCCTGCATTGCTAGCTATTATCATGTAGATGTAAATGCTAAAATTTCACTTCTCTCATAAAATAATTCAGTTGTACTTAGTACATTTTAGCCCCTCTCTAAACGATGTTAATGATTATTATAAAGAATCAGGCGCGTACGCAAGAATTTGGTCTGGGGGGGGGGGATAATAAAATTTTTAAAGAAATATTATTGTTTTTTAAAAATATCAAGAATAAATTTATTAGGACTAATAACTATTTCTAATACACAATTTTAAATTAATGTGAATTATAAAAAAATTATATGTAAAGAATCACTTAAATGACCCAAAATAGAAATTTGAATTTTTTGAGCCTTTACACAAAAAGTTACTTAGGAATAATTGCATTTTATATGTTATATATTTACAATGTAAAATCCAATTTTCTTTGTAATTGAGCTAATTTTTCAATTATCTCATCCTTGCTTGTCGTCAAATGCCTATGAATATTCAAAAGATCCAAACCTTTCAATCTACTTTCAGATGTTGTACTTCTTGGTATGTTTTTCAGAGACCTGCAGGCCGGGCCGGACAGTATTTTAATTTTTTATACCCGGGCTTGGCCCGAAATTTTTTTTAAAAAACACCCAAACCGGCCTGAATAATTTAAAAAAAACAACCAATCCGGGTTGTATTTTTTAAAACAGCCTATATTTGAAATCGTTATTATTAGCTATAAAAATCAAAAATAAATATAATTTATTTTTAAAAAATTCGGGCCGGGCCTGAAAATTATATTTTAAAAAAGCCGAGTCGGGACTAAAAATTTTAAAAAAAAAGCCGGGCCGGGCCTGAAAATTTTTTTAAAAAAACCCAGGCCGGGCCGTAAAAAATCTTTAAAAAAAATCCGGGCCGCAGGCCTCTGTTATTCTTCTTAAAAAAGAGAATGTTCTCTCATTAGTTTACTAATAGGAAGAGTTTATAAACCCTTTTAATACATTGGGAATTTAATCTAAAATGTGTTTGAAATAATGCAGAGCATACATAGCATTTTTTGGGACTATATCAACCATTGTTAATCTTATAAACATAGTTATTTAGCTAATAAGGCATCATAAGATATTTAAACATCCTCATAATAAAATCTAACAAATTTTTTATTTTTCTATCACCATCTGAAAAAGATTGGGAAGACTTTTATGGAAGTAATATTTGCAGATTAGTAAGTGCTGCATGATGAATTAAAAATTCATTTATTTGGGTTATAAATGTATCAGTATTTAAGATATTCTCTTCTACTGATCCTATATTATGTTTTAACGATGAGCTTGCCTTGCTACAAGTCGAGGGAGACAAATATAAACACGTATAGCTCTGCTTTTGACTCAACAATAAAATATGAAATTCTTCATATTAGCCCTAATTTCCTTGAGTTCTGATAAAATGCTCTTCGCTATTCTCATCTTCTTAATCAAGTCAATGTCATGTTTTTGAAAAGTAATACTTAAAATAGTTGTATAATTAAATAATACATTCTAATGAGAAATAAAATTTGGAATAAGCATTGAATCCAATAATTTTCTTGCTTCTGAGGAAATAGTTCTTTCAGGCCATTGTGATATTTCAGTAATAGCAAATAATTGGCTCTTCTAACTCCTTAAAAGCTGTTACTGCTTGATGGCAGAGACTCTATCTCGTTGGATAAGGTTGCAATTTATTTTTCCCTGTTGGACAAGAAGTTTCAGAAATAATTATTATTTGACTAGAAATTTGAAAATGGTAGATAAATATTACGCCACTAAAAATTTGAAAATAATAAGTAAATATTACGCCGGAAAACTTGAAATGGAAATTAATTGATAAAAAGTAGATAAATGTGATAATAAATATAATAAAATATATATTTAATATGAGATACGAATAAATATTAACAAATATAACTTAATATAAACAATAATATTTTTGAAAAATATATCCGGCATCTGCATTTTTTGGCTTGGGGGGGGGGGGGGGATTTGCCTCCCTGCCCCCCCCCCCGCTGCGTACGCCAATGTAAAGAATTATAAGAAATTGTAATGAAATATAATTTTAAAAAATTTTTTATGTATAAAAATATTATCTGCTAAATTTCAAAAAAATGAATGAAATTTACAAAGTCTATCAGTTAATTAATGAGTTTTAAAAAATAGGGTGTATGCTTACATCCCCCCCCTCCCAAATCGGAAACCCTAGTCACTTTTTTAAATAACTTTATTATCACTAATAATATATATAATAGCTCAATATTTATATCTTTAGGGCCGTAACTATGGAGCGGACATTAAGTAAACAGTACCTTTCAATATATCCCGAAAAATATAGAAGTAGGGGAGACTGGGGTTAGTCAAACCGATTTTTACAAAATTGGCCATAGCTCCTGTTTTTTTTAGATAATATAAAAAATAATATATGATTAGTTACTTAAAACTATACTCTATAAAGGAGCTTTATAAAAAAAATTAAGAATAAGATCATTTATTTTTAATTTTATTTTTTTGTAAAAGTAAAAATTTTGTCCAACAAACCCCAATAGCGAAGTGAGGCAAACCACTTCAACGGGCTTCCTAAACCATTGGTTTTTTAGGCTATAATAAATTGAAATGTATTTTTATTTATTAATAATGATACGTATATAATAATTTTATTGTTGTAATGTTCAAAATATCATAATACTTATAAATTGAAGCTATTATAAATTTCAAAACTTAATTTTGGTTAATTTAATAAACATTTTGGGTATAAAAAAATAAGGATTTTAAGGAGAAATTATGACTTCTTAGAAATACAAATCATAAACAGCTATGAAATTGCCGTTTCAAGATTTTAAAATTTTTATCATTATTAAATGCCATAATTGACCTATATGGTTTAGAAAGCCACGCTAGCTCTAAATTAACAAATCATAATTGAAATGATATCTAGATATAATAAATACTCATAAAACTTATCCAAATTATAGAAGAGTGTTTAAACTTTGCTATAAAATTAAATTTACATATAAATGATTATATATTTTAATAAAAATTTATGTCATGTAAAAATCTTTTGAAAATTTTATCAAAATTTTATTTCTTAAATAAGATGGGACCCCTAATCTAGGCCATCACACTATTTAAATTTCTTAGGGGATCAGCAGTAGTTAGTAATTATAACTGAATGAATGAAGAATTGTTATAAATTCCCTAGATCATCATAATTTAATTACAATGAATTTATTATAATATTTTAGAGTTAACACACATATTTTTCTTATGTATCTAAATTTTTCTTAAACATACAGCACTATATTCTCAGTACCAACCATTATAAATATTATTTTTGTATTGTGACAAAAATTCTAGTATAAAATAAAATTGATTTTTTAAATAAGTTTTAATTGATAATTACGTATACATATGCGGATGGACAAAATAACATGGCACTCTTTAATTTAATTTTAATTATATCTACGATATTAAAATGTATTCGCCTAATCGTAGCTAGTTATGACGTGTTTGTACATGATAAGTTTCATTACAGACGAACAAAGCAACAAATGTAATAAAGATGAAAATAAGGTTCAACAATTTTTTTTTATAAATCACTCTTTCTTTCAAAACAATATACAATTTACTAAACACCAATAACACCAGGTCGAAAAAATGCCAAACTTACAATGGCTTTATTAAATCGAGTTTTCCTTCCCTCCACCCAAGATTTTACAAAAAGCAATTATCTACATAATTTTTTTTAGCGCACTAGAAACAAATTAGAGGGGTTTTCTTTAGAAAGAATATTCATAAAATAAGAATAAATCCTGCCAAGGCCCGATTAAAAATTTTAATCAAGATTTGGCCCGATCAAATCCGAGAAATATAGATGAGTTCGGTTAGATAGGACAGGCCAGTGCAGGATTCTAATTTGTATGCAATATACAAGTCAAAATCATTTTAAAATATGGAAAAGCTTAGCGAAATGAGGTCATGTTTTTTTTCTTATGCCTCTCTGCAATTTTCAGAGCAAATGGTATAAATTTAAACTCTTAAAAGTATGGTGGATAAGAATGCAAAATATATTCATTAATTAAATTGTTAAGAAATAATGGTGTAATTTAGAAATTATTTGTTTAAAAACAATTGAAAATTATTTAAAAATTTTTGTTATAAAGTTATAAAATTAATTATATTATGAATATGAAATAAATTTTAAAAAATTATACCTAACAATAACAGTTTGATATCTTTGGCTGCTTGAATTCCATCTTCTTTTAAATTTTTTTCGATCTGCTTACTCCTCTCAATAGCTTGCCTTTCTTCGGCACTCATAGTACAGCCCATGATGAATGAATAGAATTAGAATATTTATGGTTATTTTTGTTTTATCACGTTGTTTTTCAATATGTTTTCTCCAATTATATTTTTTTATGGATATCTGGGATAAATGATGATTAAAAAAACTACTATAAAATAATTACTATTTAAACCTTTTAAATGAATTATATATATATAATATCTTTTTCGAATTTTTTTTTAGTGAAAACAATAATTCTACCAAAACGATTTTAGTCGATTTTAATCAAATATCAAATATCCTTACGGAAAAATAATTGCGAAAAAATGCCTTATATCTTTTCAACTAGTAAAAAAAAAAGAAAAAAATATTGATTTTTTTTTTTAAAATTAATTCTCATTATATATATCTAATATTATAAAAAAACCGAAACAAACAAAATGATTATAATCAAATTTTTAAATAATATTTTTTTAAATTATAAATAATATTTTTTAAAATTATAAATATCGAGATTATATATTGTATTGTAGGTATGGCTAAAAAAATATTAAAATTTTGGAAAGGTAAAAAAAAAATTGGATAAAGTTAAATATATTTTTAAGTGCAATAAGAAAAATTAATATTTTAGTTTTAAGCCAACCAGCTTTATATAATTCTTATTAATATGTAATTGTTATGGAATACCATTTCTACTATCTTTTTTTACATTCTCCTCCTGTTATTTTTTTTTAAAAAAATTATTATTTAAAAAAAAAACTTATTTATCTCTCGAATTAAAAAAATAAAGAAAACTATAAATTTCAAATAAAAACAACATACGAATTAACAAATAAATAATAAAATATGGTAGAATAACAGCGAAAATATAAAAGATCGATATTCGGATTCGATAAAGAGATTATTGATTTTGTTTCTATTAATTTTATTTTTATCTCAATTTTTTTTTTATAAATGCATTAATTAGTCTAAATTATTTTTTATTTCAGTAAAAAATTTCATAAAAAATAATCCAAACTACTAATTATAATTATATTAAATTACATATTACAATACTTGTCCGGTCAAACCAGTCCATAAAAGCTTCCTAGCCCAGGCCGAAATGATTTTTCTTCAGGAAAAAATCAGAAATTTTGTATTATTTAGAGCTTAGCACCGGCCTGAAAACTATTGGCCTGGGGGTGTAGATCTCTAATGGTTGGTACGATATTTACAAAAAAGAGTAATAGAAAGTGGGAAGAAAATAATTAGGAAAATTTATTAGGAATTTATAATTATAATAATATTTTTGGGGGAAAATTATAAATTGAAAAATAAATTTATTTTATATTTTTGTATTTGGAAAAACGAACGATAATAAAATGCATTGTTATTTTGTCTTTTTCTTATAAAATTCCGTATTTGTTATATATTTTTGTCATTTTTACAAATAATAAATCGATAATGATATCAAGAAGAGAAAGATGATAGATATATACAAAAAATTTATAAAATATATTTTAGAAAGGGAACTAGTAAGAGATTGAAGGCAGAGAGGCAAGTGAGAGGGATTGGATAAAGATAGATTATTAGATAGATATAAGATATATTTCTTTATTTAAATTTTATTATAAAAATCGATAAAAAACAACACTTATGTATAACATAGGATAGGGTGTTTATTTTATGTAATATATAAGGGCCATTAAGGTTCATTCAACAGTTTTCTTGATTTAACAGAATATAGTAACGAAAAGACCTATTTCAATAGATATTACTATTTTTTAGTGTTGTTAAAAGTTACTTTGAAATATAACTAGTTACAGTTACTAGTTACATTGGTAAAAAATAACTACTTACAGTTACTAGTTACATGTAACTAGTTATTAGTTACAGTTATATTTCAAAAGTAAATAGTTACATAATAAGTTACTTTATACATAATTCATAAACGCATTATTTATTTACTGAAGCATTTATTTAATATAAAATAATTAGGATATAATAATTATAATCATTTATATAAAAAAATGTACAATTTATCTATATAACAAAATAATTAAACCGGAAAAAATATATATCGGAAAATAGAATATATTTATTAGAGACCTGCAGGCCCGGTCCTAAGCCCGGCCCGTGTACACAAGTCGGGAAGTATTTTAATTTTTTTTAAAATATACTCAGGCCGGGCCTGAATTTTTTTTTAAAAAAAATATCCGGGCCAGGCCATATATTTTAAAACCAAATATTTGAAATCGCCATTATTATTTATAAAAATCAAAAATAAATATAATATATTTCTAAAAAATCCGGGCCAGGCCTGAAAATTTTTCTTATTAGTAAGTAATGATTACTAATTTAGTAGTTTATTCAAAATTATTTAATTCTAAAATAATCTGTCTTTTTCGTTCCTTATACTAAGTTCTATGATCTAATTTAGTAAAATTTAAAAAAAAATACATTTTCATGAAATTCCATAAATATTACCAGCAACTTGAGGGCAAAAAATATGGAATATATTCTGCTAATTAGGTAAAGAAATATAATAATAAAAAATAGGTTTATTAATTGAATTTGGTTACAAAATTATGAAACCCAGCAATGTAACAATTTAAGGAGAGAAAATATTTGGACGGGAAATTATATTATTGTTGCATATCCTTTGTGAACACAATCAGACATTTAAACAAAATTTTAAATTAATTTTTATTGTAGTGGACAAAAAAAGCTTTATCCACCTAGGTTCACTCATTGGAGATGAAAGTGTTATATTTCATTTGAGATGAATTTCTTGTCAAATTCAATAGAATGAAAATATTTTAAAACATTTACCTGCTCATCAGGCATTTTATTTATTTAAATATTTTTTATTTATTTCTAAAATTTTACATGCCTTTCGTTCGTCAACAATTTTTATGTCCCTTGAAATATTATTAGACCTTGAGGTTCATAATAAAAATATTCTCGAATCTATTTTAAATATTAAATTCTCTTCACTCTTCAGTATGCAAGCTGCCCTTCTACCAAGTGGTATAGGTATCCCTTCCCCCATATCCTTAAGCATTTCAGTTTTATACTCAGTTGTTAAATTTCCATACATCGCTCTTTCTCCCCTTAAACCCAACCCAGTATACAGACCACCTTGGCTACGAATGGTTAGAAACTATACCTAGTTCTAATTTAGGCTTGTTTATTAACCAACGAAGAACTTAGAATAGCTATAGGTCTTCGTTTTGTGAAATCGTAACGCCGACATCATGTGTCCCTTTATTGATAGCCTTAGACACCCCCCCCCCTCCATACTGTCGTTTTTTGGAAGACAAATTATCCAGACACTATGCCATCAATTCATCATCAATAGAATCTTTAAATCCGCAAATATTCCTTCTACACTGGAACCCTCTGGCTTCAGCCCTGATGGAATGACTCTATTCCCTTGGAACCAAGATATACCCCTCGCTTGGAATTATACATGTGTAGATCGTTTTGCTAGATCTTTTTATTTCAACTCTATCATGAAAGCTGAAAATACAAAAACAAATAAATATAGCCACCTTAATATTCTTTTGTTTGTTCCGGTAATCTCAGACACCTGTGGATCATTTGGACCCCAAGCCCTAAAATCATTTAACAATAGGGCAAGGTTACGTTTAATCACAGGTGATCTAAAAGGCTTCGACCTACGACAAAGAATATCAATCAAAATTTGTCGATCCAAATGTATATCTATACATGGGTCATTAAACTCCGCCGACCAAACCTAAATACATTATTTTATTTAATTTCTCTTCTTTTAATTATATATTTTTACATAGAATATAGAAGTATTATAATTTTAATAGTTATATTATTTTTAAAAAAAACATTAAAAAATAAAATTAATTACTGGAATATATTATTTAGATTTATACATGTATATTTTTAGAAGTAACTAATTACTTTTGGCTACATTTCAAAAAATATAACTAGTTACAGTTACTAGTTACAATTTTTAAAATATAACTAGTTACAGTTATTTTTTAGCAAAAATGTAACTAGTTACTTTAACAACACTATATATTTTCTACGACACGCCCCCCCCCCTCCGTCCCCTATCCCCGAAAAATATGATTAGATAAAATTTTATGTTTTCTAATACTCTAATATTGATATCTATCTAGACGAAAATAGGCACCCCATTCTTAGTTTTCGATTTTAATAAAATCATTTCAGAAATTTCCTCTTCTATTTATTAGAAAGTAGATGAAAAATCCCTAAAATCTACGAATAAACAAGTATATAGAAACATTTAATATTTTAATCAAATTTTCACATAAAAGATATTATAAATGATAAAAAAAAAATTAAATCACGCCTCCCAAAGATGAAGATGCTATAATTTGTATGGGATGGGCTTCCATCTTTTCTATTTCCAAGTTTAAAGGGAATTTAGCATTAGTAATGGCTAAAACAGGTGCGTAACTAAAGGGGGGAGATCCTCTCTACCAAGTAAAAGTTAATAACCTTTTAAAATAACAGGTAAAAAGAAGTAAAAAATTATTTTTTATGAAAATCTAATCTAGTCAAAGGCCTACAATACGTGGACCTGCAGATTTCCAATAAAATTTATAGAGAAAACCCGCCTAATAGTGCCCCTCCTTTAGCAAAATCCTGGATACGCCTATGGACTCAACCTTATCTCTTGAGGGTAACAAATCGTCCATTGTAATCGTTTTCACTTTCACACTTAAAACAATTCATCTTATTTTGGTATCATATTTCCTAAAGATGCCACAAGTCTATTTACTTTTTTATGCTACTAAATTATGAAAGGAAAGTAACAAAGCTACAACCAGAGATCAAGTCTCATATGTCAAATACGATAAAAAGTTGATTTTTTTATAAGGATGATAGTTAAAAATATATTTCGTTTATTTAATTTTTCTATAATAGATATAGTGCTTCTATATTTTTTGTTTTATTGAATCTTGATAACCATTCTAAATATTTTACTATTGCTAATAAATTGTTTACCAAACGGATTGAAGTATTAAACTAAAATATGTAATATTTAAGCATTAAATATTGGCCTAATTATTGCTTTTGCCAAAAGGGTTGAAAAACTAAAATGTACTAAATATGCACTAATTAATAAGTTTTAGAGTTTATTCCAGAAGTTTGGCTAACTTCACGCTCAAAGCGTGATATCATAGTTTTTATCAGCTTATAATTCCTACTTTTTCTGGTTAGACAAATTGATTGAAAAATTTATAAATAAGGCATTAAATATTACAAACGATATATTTCGAACTTCTATATTCTTTATTCTGACAGTGTCATTTTCATTTTTATCATATTTTACCATTTTCCCCTA